TACTCAATTTATTCAAACTTCGAAACGCCAAAGAAATCTCCTTAGTTTTTTTAAAAAATCTTGAAAAAGAGTCAGACAAATCAGGAAGATAAGGAACAACAAAATATTTTTTAACAGTTTCAAGATCAGAATGACAGACAAATTCCACACATCTGTAATTCTTTGAAATATCCCAATGAATTGTTCGATTACAAAAGCTCTTTAAAAATGCAAAGATATGTACAAAGATTTTTCTCGAGTATTTAACTACTTAATGAAAAAATGTTTTATTATAGTATTTTGGAAAGCTCTCGAGATAAGCTATAAAAATATGCAATAAAATGTAAGAGGTTCCATTTAAACAAATAAGGTTGACCTTGAAATGACTTTAAAGGAGATGGTCAAGATCAAAGTCAAGGTCATCATTTTACTCCTCGCTTGAAACCATACAACTTTGCTATTGGACATTTCCTCCAGAATGCATTCTAACTGAAGATATTAGAGGAGTCCGATACTTTTCGATGACCCTGTATGTAGTAGCTTCACACCTTCTGTTGATTTTAAATAAAAACACTGCACGCGCTGCTAACCTTATATATAATAATTAAAATATAATAAAGAATACAATATGAGTAAAAGAAGTGGATATCAATGTTGTATCAAAGGCTACTCAAATGCATCTAATGACAAACGAGGAAAGAGAGAATCTTCGATTCGATTTCCAAAAGACATAAAGGTTAGTTTATTATGTTCCTTTTGTCTTTTCATTACTGTAGCTTTTAAGGCCAAGTGCATGAAAAATATATATTCTAAATATATAAAGAACAATACATATAAAATATATAAAATATCACAAAATGTAAAAGTACACATACATATATAATTTTTTATAAGTATTGTAATATATTTTTAAAATATGTTTCCTTGATATATAATATTGTTTTTTATATGTTTTTTTATGTTTGTTCTTTAATCTCTTTCTGTTCAGTAATATTATATAAATTTTTTATATGTTTTATATTATATAATGTTTTATATTATAATAATTTATATTATAATTTTTATATATTATATATGTATATTCTTGTGTAATAAGTATGTTTTAAGTCGTCCTTCATTGTTACTTATTGTAACAGTTTGTCTATTCCACAGCCATAGACATGATTTGAAATATTATTACTTTTATAGAATAAATATTTATTTTTTTAAATAAACTGCAAACCAGATTACTTAACACACAAAAATAATCCCTGTATCTGATGTATATATTAAAGTATCTGCTGAAATATTGTGTGAAGGAAACTGTTGGTGAAAACATTTTCCATTATTTATGCAACTCAGTTTTAAATTTCTAAATATGTACAAACTATAAGATATATTAGGTGCGCAACTAAGTTCCCGCTGTTTGTCACTAGATAGCTCCAGCAGTAAGTGCTGGTCGATTTTGACATATCCAAAACGTCACGAGCCAAGCTTAGACATATGGTAGACAAACCGCTTTGACACGTTAGTGATTTTGTTTTGGCGTCATATACTTTTGGTTGTGTGAGAATGTCTGAT